GGAGTTAAATCACAAGTACTCGGGCTGCATGCGCCTAGGGTCCCCTTCCCTGGGTGTCCTGTAAGTAGTGCCCTTGGGGCCACCTTCACAAGTCACCTTGGGTCAACCTTTGCAAGGTCTTTTTCTTCTCGGAGATTGGCCGCCCTTAGAGTCAGCTGGGGTGTTTCTTACTCTCCTGTTTGCCTCTGGGTTGGGGTGTAGTTTTGTCTCTGGTTGGGCGCAGGGTACTGACCAGCTAGTTTTCACCTTTCATAGCGATCGGCTCTTTTTCACCTGGACATATTGTCCTCTTGTGGGTTTTTTCTTGTTTTTGTTTTTCCTGCCTGGTGAAGGGTCTGACCTTTTGTTTTGGTCACATCCATTTACTGTATAAACCTGCTAATCCGCACTATATGGGAAGGACTCCCAGCCGGATTAGCACGTTTTCCGGATTAACGTACTTTTTCACCACGGAAGTCCAAAAGTGACCATTTCCAACTATTTTTATACCACAAACAACATAATTTGAATTGCCACATATAATTATAAAATATTCAACTAGAAACCTCAACTTGTTGTGGTTCGTCTTCTTGATTGATGCCACACATCTTGAAGTCAAGAATTCTTGACAATTTATGTAACCAATTCTAACACAACACTAAAATTAACACTTAAAATTACTGTACATTTCATGAGGCAAAGTTAGTTTTGACTGCCAGCTGATGAAGCCTCACTGGTTGAGGGCATGTGGCTTGCCTGTGATGCCTCACTGGTTGAGGGTGTGTGACTTGCCTGTGACGCCTCACTGGTTGAGGGCGTTTGGCTTGCCTGTGATGTCTCACTGGTTGAGGGCGTTTGGCTTGCCTGTGATGCCTCACTGGTTGAGGGCGTTTGGCTTGCCTGTGATGCCTCACTGGTTGAGGGCGTTTGGCTTGCCTGTGATGTCTCACTGGTTGAGGGCGTTTGGCTTGCCTGTGAGGCCTCACTGGTTGAGGGCGTTTGGCTTGCCTATGTTGTCTCACTGGTTGAGAGCGTTTGGCTTGCCTGTGAGGCCTCACTGGTTGAGAGCGTTTGGCTTGCCTGTGAGGCCTCACTGGTTGAGGGCGTTTGGCTTGCCTGTGAGGCCTCACTGGTTGAGGGCGTTTGGCTTGCCTGTGACGCCTCACTGGTTGAGGGCGTTTGGCTTGCCTGTGACGCCTCACTGGTTGAGGGCGTTTGGCTTGCCTGTGATGCCTCACTGGTTGAGGGCATTTGGCTTGCCTGTGACGCCTCACTGGTTGAGAGCGTTTGGCTTGCTGTGACACCTCACTAGTTGAGGGCGTTTGTCTTGCCTGTGTTGTCTCACTGGTTGAGGGCGTTTGGCTTGCCTGTGATGCCTCACTGATTGAGGGCGTTTGGCTTGCCTGTGACGCCTCACTGGTTGAGGGCGTTTGGCTTGCCTGTGACGCCTCACTGATTGAGGGAGTTTGGCTTGCCTGTGATGCCTCACTGATTGAAGGTGCTTGGCTTGCCTGTGATGCCTCACCGATTGAAAGCGCTTGGATTGCCTGTGACGCCACACTGTTTACATATATCAGAAACAGTACTAGTGCCTATATTAAAGTCCTTGGCAACACTTGAAGTCGACCAGCCATTTTCACAAAGTTGTATAACACGTAACTTGTCATTAATTGTTAGGGTAATCTTCTTCCTCTTAACACATACAGAACGATATACCACAAACCAGACATAGTCTTGGCCAAAAATGTTCAGTTACTATGAAAACAAAAAAAATATTTAAAAGTATAACTACTGGCGTGGCACTGTGGTTATAACGTGAGGAACAGGAGCACACGGGCTGTTTGACTTGACCAGGCCTGGACGGGTCCACTTGGGGCAGGCAGGCACGTTACTTAAGCCACCAGGCGTAAAAAAACTCACAATATTTTTGTAACAAACTATAGCTTGTGCAAATTGTTTTTAGGAAACTTGTATACAGTATTTGTTATTATATAATTATTTCCTTAGTTTTTGACTGTGATGATTTGTTCTAAAATTAATGGTAATTCCTGTAGTGTATAGGCCTTTCCACATCCCCCTTGTTTCCCAGGCAGTCCCTCCCTATGCTCCCCTCTCCCCCGACACCACTCGCCCACCCACCCCACCCCCTCCTACACCACGTGCCTAGAGCCACAGCCATACAGGATTAATATGGTATGGCCCAACGCCTGCCTTTTTGATCCGGACTATACGCCGCTTGTCCAGCTTAACCACCATGCTGTGCCGAATTTATTGTGAAATTCCCCCGGTGAGCATGAAATTCCCCAAAAATCTCCCAAAATTATGTTTTCTTCGTAAAATGATAAATTCCCTTCCCTGAACATGTCTATGTAAAAATAAATACCAAATTCCACTTACTTTGGCTGTGGGGACATGGACAAGGTGCGCTGTGATGTCATCAGGGGCTGGTCGCCCGTACGTGACACGCCCAGACACGGTCGTGCGGGTCATTCAAGCACCTGGTGTTGCCACAAATATATTTTAAATTATTTGTTTTATGTATTTCCATTGCGGTTTTGTTTTTTTATCATATATGATGCATATTTGTGTCCTGTACAATTTGTATACAGTAGAATGTTCATAATGTTCCATGGAACTGTGATACATGTCAGTAATGTGTCCACAATAAATGTTTATTTTTGCAATATTACATGTTAAAAATTCACTAAAATTTCAATATGTACAGTTTCACACACTACACAGTAACTCACTGTATTACACATTCAGTACTTCGGAAGTGAATAATAATCAATGAAGTAGACCATGATACACAGCGTGACTTCGCTCTCAGTGCACCAGGTACAGATAAATTTTCGCTTCCTGTTTCTTCATTCTGTGTGCTTGCAAATAACGCACTCACGTACACTCTTGGCTTTAGTACTTGTAGGTTGTATGTAGCCAAGCTTGTAAAGCATAAGGAAGTATTGAAAAGATTATAGGAAAATATAAATTTGTAAGGTAGTCTTGAAAAGATCGCTTTGTATGGTCCCACACAGGAAGAAATTCAGCTAGCCTCAAAGAGTGTCCGTCAGTTAGAAAGAGATTCGGGTATTCTTGAAAATATCTATGGAAAACACCACCACGGAAGCCGCTAACACTGTTCATCTATGCTACTTGTATCAGATGCATCATCACTGAATGCAGAAAATTATTCATCTATGTATCATCTAAATATATTGGAGATAGCATAGGATTGCAGGGTGACGCTCAGAGCTACAACTGGATATGCTCGCTGTATTGTCCTCATAGGTGTTGTATCACTTGTATCCGACCTTTGTGTTAGGTCCTTATTGCGCCTAGCTTCACAATATTATGACCTTGTTCTTAAAACAATAAGGTTTGAATTTCACTGACGGAGCGTTGTCTTTCAACACCGTGTTGGACAGGTGTTTGGGAATCAGAGGCGCGTGCGCTACCCACGGTTGCTTATTCAGTACTAACTCAGCCAGCAGCCCTAGAGCATTCTGGGAATTTTTTCCAAGATGGCTGCCTCTCACTGGAGGTCCTAAGAGTCCGTTTCGTACACAACCAATCTCTCTCACATTGAGAATGGGTACGGAAAGATCAGAGTTTTCTTGGTTGCACAGTTTCCCGCCAACCGAGAATACTCGGCTGGCGCAGTTAAGTGGTTAATGTCAGGATTGGGTAACATCAGTAGCAAGTTAACCGGCTCGGATTTCTGATTCGGCCAAATATCGGCTAGTCCAGCTTCCATGGACATTTTGGCCGGATGGGGAGATGACTTTATCCGGCCACGATTTTTGCTGGATTAGGGCGTTTTCCGGATAGGTGGATTCCGGATTAGTGGGTGTCTACAGCATATCTTGGTGGTCCTCCACTAGGCCCCCCATGAGTGTACACATCCCGTGGGTTCAGCTTTAGCAGTTAATTTGATAACTTTTGGCGCCGGTTAGCAGTACCCTGCCAGGGCTTCCCTTTGCGAAATTACGTGACTAGGGGCCACTGGGAAACCTCTTTAGTCCAATGGATGCAACCTCTGGGTCCCCTCTCGCTTCGAGCGAGTTTGGTTGCTCGAGGGTTTGTGCAGGAGCCTGATCATTGCTGTGATGGTCTACCCACTGGGTCGAGTTTGGCTGCGTCGGCTGTTCTGGTTCCTTCTGGAACATCCATTCCACCTCTTGCAATCGCTGGGTTCGGTCTATCCTCGTGCCCATGATGTTCGTAAGTGTGCGGCTTTGGATGTTATTTTTGGTAAAGTCCTGGGCTGACTTTCGGGCACAGTGGTTTTGGAGCTCGAACAAGGCCCTGGCCGCAGGGTACCTTGTTCATGTTCCTTCCCGGGCGCGTGTGTACCCTTGAGTCGCAGGTGGAAGTCGAGCCAGTTATCATGACTTCGAGTTGTGATGGCTGCCTCCCCGGCAAGTCCCTCTTTTCCTTTATCTTCGGCCCTTCTGAAGCTACCTAACCAAAGGAGCTCTCCACAGAAAACCAGCGTTGAATGTAATGAAACGCTGTTATCTGGGTGAGGTTCCCCGGCATCCCTCCCTCACCTCCCTCCAGTCGGCTTTTTTTTTTTTTTTTTTTTTTTTTTTTTTGCACGGCGACTGTGGTGACCTTATACTTGTTTTCGATTGAGGAGTTCTGGTTGCTAGGTCAGCTTTTGGTTGGCAGTTTTTAACCAGCTGTAGTTTTGGAATTCCTACCTTTCTGAGTGCCTGACCTGGTAGATGGCAGACATAGACTGCTTCCATTTACATGGGGGGTGTCTATAGGCCATTGCTCCTCATGCCTCTCTTAAGGGTGGCCAGGTTCTGGAACCAGTCCTCGGTAGGCTTAGAATTCCATAGATTGACTGTTGCCACTGTCTAATATATACACAAAAGCCTGGTATAGCTCTGGGGAGCCTCTGGGTCACAACCCAGAAAATGGTGTTTCATTACAATCAACGCTGGTTTATGGGTTTGATCATTAGATCTGAAAATTGGGCCCCACTTCATATTTTCTATTAATTCTTGATACAG